CAAACTCAATGAGGATCGATCTCTCAGAAGATCTAACCAAACCAAAAATTTGAGGAGAGTATTTGGGAGCTATCGAGCTTCAAAAGAAAAATGACTCGGAGAAGGTCAGAGCAGAAAATGCGAAAGTTTCTTTCATCCGTTCAATCCTTTTTATTGGCCTCCTTTTGGTAGCCCAAGCACCGCATTGGGTTCCGTAAAAAATGTCATTTAGACACAAAATTCGGGAAAAATCATAATCCTAAATTATGAAAAATTTTATTCATAAAAATTGCAGTCGAGTTGTCCACCGTTTTAGGCAAGACCAAACCTCGGTTCATTAAACTCATGTGCAAAGCACGCCCCCCGAATTTGTATTTCTCTATATTTTCTTTTCGGCACGCACATGAGAAATTGAACTGACGGAGCGGTAAAGGGGTCCAACACCTTTCCTTCCTTCCGTCTCCTTTTTAGAAGTGGTGCGGAGTCAGACGATTCACCAATCACTTCCACACAAGGCAGTTTTGTGGTTGGTTGTTTAATTGGTTGTACCCATTCTACTGGCCTTTTTCCGCCGACCGTTTTCTTCTCTTCTCCTTTCCTCTTCTCAGTCAGTTGCATCTCTTCACCCACCTTTTTCTTAAGGACTGAGCGGGAATTGTCAGGTTTCCTTTTTCATTCCTTATCTACGAGGCGGGTTATAGAAGTAGGAAGTCCAAAGGCCTTCAATAAGGCCTCCTCGCTATCTTTTTGGCACCTGACATATTTGTTCTCTTGAGTGACCGACTTACCAGAAGAAAATGCGGGAAATGGGAAAAAAGAAAAACACACTTGGTGCTCTATTTATAGGAAAAAGGGGCACAAAAATTAATGGAGTATAACTTATGATGATGTTTATTACCCATTATATGAACAATAACGTTATTTAATTATCTTATTTTTATGACAGTTGTCACTTTCTAAGAAGTAAGAGAATCGAAAAACTAATTATGTACATATAAATGGCGTATACACGAATCTCGAGAAGTGATTGGAGACGTGAAGAAATGAATTATTCGACATGTGATCAGTCGGTCTCATAGGCTAACCGAATGAAGATAATGAACGACCTAACAAATACCGCACAGTTGTGTCAACACCTACTACTATCATGAAAATTAGTAGTCGCTTAGAATGAGGTTCTTCAGTATAGACACAGACCAAATTTTGGTTGCTTGTCGGATTACTCTAATTCACTCTATACCCGATGAAATAATCCCACTCAAGGACGATGTGCCTTCACATTCGGTCTCCACAGAATGGGCAATCGAAGATCATTAATTCGACCGAAGGTTGTTTGATCGACCAAATGAATCCTGACCGATAAAATGAATTCCAAGCAACCAAATTGGCTAGTTACGAATGAAAAACAGTGTTTAAGGCAAATGCAAAAATATAGCGGCGCTAACAGCGGTTATGAGATCAGAATAAATGTTATTCAGTTGCAAATATGTAAATCTAATGACTCATTATTTATAGTAACGTCCCCTTTTAAATTAGAACAACCATGTAGTTTATCAGATCCAACCTATGAACTATAAATAGGAGGATCATTCTCAAGAAAGAGAACTTTGAACGAAATTCTCTCTAAAAATGTAAAGAATGTTTAAATTTTCTTTCTTCTTTCATCTGACTAACGCTTTATTCCTTGGACGTGATCTACAGGATAATCTAGGATCAAGCAGAATGAAGCTAGCTCAATATTATTGATGAAAATCTACACTATTTTAACTAGTAAACAACTTAGTTCTGTAGCTTTATTTATTATTGGTTTATCGACCAAGCTTACTCAAGAAATTGATTAATGAATGATTGGGATAGAGTCATGCAACATTAGGTAATGTTTATAAAAAAACATGTTTATGCCGAAACATCTATTGGGGTATAATTTGATGAATAGCCAATAGATCAAAACAACTGGATGTCATCAAGACACCAATATGACATGGATTGACGTAGTTAACATCTTCATGAAAGGAAGAAAGGACTAATCTAGTATCAAGAAGCATACATGTGCACAGACAAGAAAAATGGTGCAAGGAAATATTTTTCCTTAAACCTAGACTCTACCAATCTAGCTGCAAAAGAACTCCTAAACTTCTATAGTTAAAAAAATGTGATGTATTGAAAAGTTTGAGAATCATATAGAGGGGAAAAAACCAATATTTTATCCACAGGAAATATCTATTTTTAGATGCTTCTAGAAGATAAAACTACATTAGTGTGCTCTCTTTTCTCTTATCCTTTTTTTTTTCTTATTTCTCAGTATTAGTTAGCTACAACTTTTAAGAACTGTTTGGCTCCTCTTTTCCGTCTTTTTCTAAGAACTTGAGCCATGTAGGATACAGTCAACTCAACATAAATAGGATAAAATGACCTAATTTGTACACATTCACTAAAAAATTTTTCAAAGAATGATTTTAGTTGAGTTTCATTGAGAAAGTTAAAAGGAAGAATCCACTGATTAAATAGGATAGGATGAGCGGAAACGTTGACTAAAAAATCCAAAAATTTTTATAAAATATAATTTTTATTGAAAATAAAGGACTCCACTATTAAACAAGCAAGTGCACATTTTTAGGTTGATTTGAGCACTCCCTTTCTCTTTTCGATCTATACATCGACCATAATTATATTTGGATTGATCCAAACCAAAATCTTTTTTATTTTGCTGGTCATATTTATTGTATTAGGTCTCCTATTGACACCCCTAGTGTTAGTTTGTTGTCTAGTTGCTGCAAAGGTGATGGGAGGAATGATTCACTTTTCTCGAAGGTAGCTGAGGAATGTTGATTTGCTGTTCAATTGTCGATGAAGGGCTGGCATAAGGAAAACATGAAGGGAGAGGAAAAAAATTTAATTTATGTCACGCAGCTTGAGGATTCCTCCCAATCAAAAATAAGGTGTAATAGGTACAGGTACAACCCAACTATTCGAATCTATTACAACACCCATTATGTAATTCTATCCATCAGAATAACAGTGAATGACTCAAACATGATCATACAAATTCAAACTAATTAGGATCCACTAAATTAATATAAGTCAAATTAAGCAGAAACATTTTAAAATACTTATTCATTCAACTATACTTTGATAGAGTGATAGACATCAGAGATCATTTGTAGAATGCCAAATTTTATATACATTCTGTAATATGCTTTATATCTAGCATCAAAACCATACATTATAAGGTAGTTAACTAATGTTCTATTCTCGCTAAGACTCAACCTTCTCTCTCACGGCATGAGCTAGCCGCATATGACTCAATGAAATGACATTAGAAGAATCATCAGAAATAACAGTCGTTCTAGTCACTATATTATCCTGAAGTTAATAAAGGTTGAGATAACAAATCCCTTTCAAAAACACTTTCTTTGATGTTGAGGGAGAAGCATACATAGAAAGGCCTCTAAAAGATAGGTTAGATTGTAAACTCATCACGATAAATAACTTTAATGCGTGATTTAACAAAAAATGAAATAGTATAATATTCTAGTAATGAATTTGACATAAGAATTAAATTCATAATCATATACTAGTATAGTGTATTACATATAACTATTGTAAAAATAATTTATTGACTAATAATACGGCATAATAATAAGTTGTTTTTGCTGTAGGAAAGTTTACTAAGATATTTAATATTCTATGATAATTTGTACTGTTAGTTAAATAAACATGTGTCAATATAAGAGACTAATCATATCATTATATATATTTTACTTATTTATTTATTTCTTAACATGAAATATCTTATTTTAACTTTATTATATACTTTGTTTATATGTCTAGGTTCGTTAGTAATTACATAGTAGTGGAATATATTAGATCTGCTCCATATGTTAAAGGGTTGAAAATTTAGCAAGGCTACATATTGATGACTTTTTTACTTTCATCAGGTTTTTTTTTGTCACTCTATTTCTTAGATCATTATGAACATATTAACTTGATAACTCTTTTTGCTTTCATAAAGACTCACTTGTTCAGGTTATGATTAACATATCATTGCCAACTTATTTTCTATAACATGATTTTTTTTAAGCTCATTATAGTCTACTTGAAAATAAAAAAAAATGATTCCGGATCGTGGATTTAAAAATTCGGGAGGAGAAGTCGAGCTATTAATCAATGCTCGATAGTGGGAAATTTTGTTTTTATTTTACGGTCGATGTGATTATTGGTGTAGTGATGGAATTCTATGCCAACTTTATGGAGGCTTCCGAGGACTTTGTTTTTGTTCGTGCGAAAATGGTGGAGTTTACTCCAAGAAAAATTGAAACACCAAGTTGTTACATAGTAGTGGAATATATTAGATCTGTCCATATGTTATAGGGTTGAAAATTTAGCAAGGCTACATATTGATGACTTTTTTACTTTTATCAGGTTTTTTTTGTCACTCTATTTTCTTATATCATTATGAACATATTAACTTGATAACTTTTTTTGCTTTCATAAAGACTCACTTGTTCAGGTTGTGATTAACATATCATTGCCAACTTATTTTCTATAACATGATTTTTTTTTTTAAGCTCATTGTATTTACATTATTAAATATTTCAATACATATATCATTCATCTTTAACATGCAAATCAATTCCATGCACCAATATATAAATAAGAAGTTTTAACCAACCCACCTATTAAAATAGATTTATATTAACTAATTCTGTGGGTGATGCATGTATTAATAAGATGAAAGCAACGGTCTAACCGAACTCATTCAGTCATACTATTGGGTTGGTTCCATTCCATTCTTTTCAATTTTAACTTTGAACATTTTGCTATGCTTCGTTTCTTTGATTTTGGTCTAATTTTGAGCCTAGAAAACCAAACAAACCAAAATTTATATTATCATCCATAATTAATAAAAAAGTGTTTTGGTAAAATCCCCTCATTCAGGGATACACTTGCCTCAGTTTCAGTATTATATTGCGATGATTAATTACTAGTTTCTTACAAATACTTTTCTCACTTAATACCAGGAAAGAAGATTTGCAGTTTTAGTGTCTTCTCTACTATCCAGCCAAACCAAGGATGAAGTTAACCATGGCAAGTTCCTGTAACTCCTACAAATTAGGGTTGGCTCACCATTTTCCTAGATATTTTCATGCATATTCCTATATTTCCTAACATTCTTTTTATATCCAGTGACAGAGTATGATTTTTTTATTGTAATTGACCAACTTCATTAGGAGTCCAGGTGCCATGCAACGTCTTTCTGAGAATGGTCTACTGGATGCTGCTGCAATTATTGAAACGGATGAAGCGACCATTGCAAAACTGATTTATCCAGTATGTATTATTTATGATTTTAGAAGATCATATTATGATGCATTGTTCTTAATCAACATAGTTTAAACAAATGGACATTTGGGCTTGGATGCTTGTGAATTAGTGCAAGCATCTGCGTATATCTGACTGAAAATTTGAATTGAATTAAGAGTGAAAACTCATATACTTCACCCAAAAATAGTTGGAATAATCTATTGATAATAATAATGATCGTGTTGAGCTTGAAATGAAATTGCTTCTATCTGATTGGAATGTGGCTACTCTGTTGCACATTCTCTTCATAAATCATGATTTCTTTGGATGGGATAATTGCTTTGCTTCACTTTACTGATGTTGTATGCATATATAGGCCGGCTTTTTCATATTTTGCTGGCTGCTTTGGATTTTGTTACAGCTCTTTTTGCCAATTTTGTTCAATTTATTTATTTATTTTTTTAATTTATTCTAACATGTTTGATGTTGAACTTAGTGGTTGGGTGTGTCTGGGATTATTCTTGCTGCTGTTCTCTAGTGGTCTTTTGAAGTTTGCAATTAGGTGCTTGCATTTGGTTATTGCGTGCACGATGTTCCTGCAGAATTGAAATCTAACTGGGCTTTCTGATTCTTTTCTTTGGTGATGGATTGGATTTGTTTGATATCTTGTTCCTACAACTAATAAAATTCTGATTCTTTCTGATTCTTTTCTTTGTTGATATAAATTCTGATTCTTTCTGACTCTTTTCTTTGGTGATGGATTGGATTTGTTCGATATCTTTATTCTTTTATAAGTTTTTTCGATGGTGGGGTTAATTTAATAACATTGCCATTGCCGGTCCCAAATCCGGATGCGAAAAGTAGGTGGAAGGTTGCGTTAGGTAGCCGACAGCCAGCGTAAAACTTGTCGAAAAAAATCATGACGTGAATCTTTTTGATTTTCCTCAAGTAGGTTTAGATACAGTGTCTAAAGATAAATTTTGGAATGACTTAGAAGACTTAATACAAATGATATCTCTTGAAGGGGGCAGAGGATCCGCTCCGACCTTTCTGATTATTGATGATGACCCAACCCCTCAGAAGGGTAATGCTGTTTGCACGCCCTCCGTCGTCGCTGAAACTCCGTTATCATTCGGCTCCGATGCGTCCATCGTCAAGTGCTCTCTCTCTCGGGCAAGTTCTCGGGAGAAGTTCGCTGGTAGATGCTCTAACCCTAGGGTTGCTGTTCTTAGCATAGAAGTAGTGGGATTAAGGTTTTGTTGTTGTTGTTGTTTGTTGTATGATTTTGTTATTACTAATACTTTATTCAAGAAAAGAGATGAGCATCTTATTACTTATAAGAGTGAATCTAATAAAACACAATAAAACACA